TTGCTAATGCTAAACATTTCTGTATAACAAGTTTAAAGTCAATAAATGTGGCAAAGAGTGGCAGACACTACAGATTGCATCATATGTATAATTTCCTAATACTTTGCAACAATCTGTTAGATTGCCTAATTACATGAAATGCTTAAGTGGGAATATAAATAGTAACAGGTAACATACAAAAATGCCCGGATTCATAATAGTATTTTACTACGACTGAGGTAGCCCACTGATCTTGCCAACAACTCTTCCAGTCAGATTCATTGGGCAAAGCCGAACATTTATTAGCCTTTAATTGCCACTACGACACCCTATGATATAAATATAGCATTGCAGTTCACAGAACATGGTCGCAACCGGGCAGGTCAGCAGCATTTATATTGATATTGATGGATGGACCCCCTGGCAGCTGAGAAGCCCGGCTGAACTCAATCAAAGCGTGACAGAGTGTCAACTGAGCGGGAATGGGATGAATGCCCGTGGACTCACGCTCCAATAAAGTAAATATATTCATAGAGGGCCAAGGGCCCTTCAGTCGAACGACCTATTCCCGCTGCAGTTCGCCTAATACAACTTTAAACAAGTTGTTTCCCGCCCCATTTAGCTGAACCGAGTTCATCAGTTCATCATCAGTGCTTTAGCCATGTCGTCTACCTGATGCATTTCATCCGCCCCGCCGGAGTCATAAGTTCTGGAGCAAATCGTGACAGCCAGCCACTCAAGCGGACCTAGAAAAGCGGGACCCCACTTGAGCCACCAGAGGCATTTGTTATTAAAAAGGGTTAGCTCGGCCATTTTGGGTTCATGGAAAATAAAGTATTTTTCGGCATCCTCATCACTCATGCAATATTTGTGTTTCCCTGAGCTGCAGTCCTGCTACAATAAAGGGAACGCTTCCAAATTATGCACACTATCTGCGAAATCAACGACGGGAGAACCAGGAGAACCAGGAGAAATGGAAATTCTTTGGGATTAGCATAAGCATGTCTGAAGTGCTCTTTGTTAGCGCCGAAATGGAATGAATGAAAATTTATTGTGAAAACAGCATTAAGTTAATGAAGCATAACATGGAATCTCGCAGGAACAAAACTTTTCGTGCTCTTTGTTGGCCATTTTGTTTGAGTTACACTTGAGGCCGAGGGAACCGAGAAAAGCAATAGAATTCAGGCTAAACAGAAGGTTTCTGGGGGCATTGGCATCCCTTTTATGTTTATGCTCTGTGGCCAAACTGTTGCTTTTAGGCATAACGAATATTTATGGCTTATCAATTTTGCAGGACACGTGCGAAAGGAAAAACAAAAGGGTCAGCGCCCAACTGCCAAGTTCACAGGCCCCTTGGGCGAGCCAAAAATTCAATTAGCAAGCTGCCTAAGAAGATAGCCCCATTAATTGCTGGTAATAGGCGAAAAATTGCGCATACGCAGCATCGGCCCCAAAGGACGCGTTTTGCATATCCGCAGTTCAATGCTTTTGCCAGCAACATTTTAATTAACTTTCAATTCTGACTTTGTGTTTAGCATATTTTGGGTGCCCCAACATCCCCACCATTTCTCCCATTTCCTGCCGTTTGTCAACGGTGGTCCGGTTGCCAGGTAAAAACGGCACCCAAAGGACATGCCAGGTGGCCACGAGGGGTTGGACTCAATGGTATTAGCTCCTGGCGTGTCGGAACAGCTTGTTTGTCCTGCTAATTAAAGTTGCGTAAAAGCAATGCCATTGTTGTTGCTCCCTGCAAATAGCTTGTGCAAATCAAAGTGACGACCTCCGGCCGATCCAAAGGAGTGACTAGCATTGTTTACCCACCTGTTCTTTTGGCCTGGCTGAATGGAGGGACTCTTTCCTGCGAACAGCAGTACACTTTAATAATGCTAATTGGTCGAGCTTCTTGGAAAAGTTAGTCCTAATAGATTTGTGAGAGTTAATTACAAAGAGCTTTTGTGAGTAAAGTGCTGATTTAACAGAGGATTCCAATCGTAGCCCTTGAGTTGGTTAGTAGATTAACTGATTGCTTTCCTTTTATTGCCTCGTTGGTGCACTTAGAGTATGAATCTACCTACTGCCAAAATTACAAAATCTGAAACCACAACTCAAAAAAATAACTCTTTGGATTAGGTGCATGCTCAATAAACACTTTATATTTGAAGAGAACTTCTGAAATGTATATTTTTGATTCAAAGAATTTTGTATTTGAGTGTAATAAGCTAGAATGACTTCCTAGATTTTATTACTGGCAAGCTGACGGATAAACGGTTGACAAATTTGCACTTTCATAATATTTGCACTTGGTTTGATATTTAAGGACAGTTACTTTAATTAGAAAGGAATCAAATGTCGCAGTCGAAGGATGCTGCATTGACTGACATTGATGTTCAATTTCACAGAACACTAACCACACTAGTGCCCACATTTAAAGCTCCTGTCTAGTCGCTCTTGACAGTGGTATTTTCTTTATTGACTGTCGTAATTTCCCCAGTTCATAATAAATGATGTCCCATGGCCGCAGTAATGGCCATGTTCCCAGAAGAGCTCCGAGTGCCAGGTAGCGTGTCAATTGAATGGTCATACACAAGACTGACGCTTTTCGACAGACAAAATTTAAATGAAAATTGGCAAATGAAAAGTCAACACGCTCGACTCAACAGCGGAAACGAAAGCGAGCCCATGTCGCACTATCGATGAGCATCAATGTCTGCGTATACGTAATTTTTCAGTTGACATTCGTTTCCTGACTTTTTCTCAACTATTTATAGCCGATATCTGCTATTGTTGGGACACTGCACTTGTGGCTGCCGGTCTGCTTTATTGTCACCCAACCATTTGCAGCCATTACTTAAATGGCCCAAATGAAAGAGGAGCAGCTGCGTCTGCGGAAGCCTCCGTTTTGGGTGACTGGTGGTGGATGATATCCCATTTCGAACGACTCCCTAAAAGGTCGGGGCCATATCGTTAGACTCAACTTGAGGTCCCAGCTGTCTAAAGACACTCAAAAATGGCATGCAATTGGCTTCAGATTGGGATTATGAATATTATAGCAAAGGCTTTGCCTGATGGCTTACTGGTGGTAAAACGCTTTTTATCCAACCATCCGGCTCACAGTAATTGCAGTCTTAACTTATTATTTACTATTTTGTGGTAAAATTTGGATGTTTGAGGTGGAACAATATTGCATTAGTAAGAGAAATAATTTATTTTTAAAATACTAGTTTGTTGCAGTTAACAAAAAAATGTATTGTATCTGTTTCTTCTCTCTTATCCAATCATGCACTGAAAATAAATCACGAATCTTTTGATATAAATGATCCAACATATTTTGTACTGAGATGCTTTTTGTTATACCTAATATGTTCATTTCACATTTTGGGTAAGCGTAAGGTAATATTAGATTTTAAAGTACCCATGCCTTTGCCCGGGAGAATTTTAGCTCAGATGAGTGCATGGATTTGTATTACAAAAGCTTCACTTTTAGTCCCTGTGTATACGCTCTGATATCCGCTTTCATCCGCGGCGAGAGTGGCCCACTTCAAGCGAGTGCCATGCAAATAGGATCGGAGCCTGAACGCCCTATTCTTGGCCTGGTCTTTTGGGTCTGGGCCCAGTTCCTTATCTGCCGCGCCCATCTGGGCCTGCCACTCGACGCCGACGTCGTCTGGAGTTGGATTCCCAAAGCGCGGTGCTTGGATGCAGTAGGAATAGGAGTAGGACTGGGAGTCTGGGCAGGAATGGTGCAGGATGAAGACGGCTGCATGTCTGCAGCGTTTGGCTTAACAAGTGATAAACTTGTCGCTTGTCCGCTCCAAGTCCTTGGACATTTTATTATTCCCGCCTCTGCAGAGAGTGCCCTGTAGAAGCCATTACCCCATACTCCAGTCACCAGTCCCCAGCTCCATCTCCATTCCTCGAGACCCCTACTTGCAGCAAGACGCTGCAAATAGTTAAGTACAAATTGCATGGCTAATTTGAGCTGTTGCATAAGGCTTAAGAGCTCTCACGCACACAGACCCCACTTCACATCGTGTTGACAAGTTGACCGTAGAATTAGCCGGAGAAGGTGTGAAGTGACAGAAGATTTGGCATGAGTAATGACCGTTGCGAGCTGTGCCCATGAAGTAGGCAGGTTTATTAGCAACTGTCGAGAAATAATTTCCCCAAGCACCGAAAATTTGAGGGTTGCTTCCATATAATTCAGATCCGTACCGAGAGTCAAGGAACCCAAGTCCAGGCCAGAGTTAACTGCTTTAACTTTAGACTACAAAGTGAACTACCTGGAAATGGTAAAAGGCTTCACGTGAACAAATGCACACCTATATAGCATAATTCTACCTATTCCTGCCAACTCAAATTGGCTCACAGTAAAAACGTTCTATTCCTAAAACTTTTTCGCGACGAAAACTGTCAAAAAGCAGCCGAAAATGAAATAAATAAAACGGAAAAATAAGTTGTTACATCTTTGTTGATTCTAACGGAAAGTCTAAATTAAATGTAATGCCGAAAAATGCATTTAAGAAAATATAAGATAAAGTTAGAGTAGAGTTTGCAAAGAAAAAATGATAAACGTGCATTGTATTTACTTTGTAGCTCTCGTTTTGAATACGAATAAGCCCGAAAAATGGTTAGAAATGTATCTAATTAAAATGAAAATATGATGTGAAATACATATTGTATCAAGCAAAGTGAAGCGAAAAGGAAGCATGCATATTTATTCTAATTTTTGAAATCAACCCCAATTAAAAAGCCACATATGTATCTATTACTCCGCCAGTTTCCAGCTCCTTAAGCTCGCTAATGCGATAAGTATACACGGTGAACACTAGGCCACAATTAACGCAGTTCGAAATAGTTCCACAAATAAAGACAACTAACGCAGATTCCCACACTTGAGTTTCCGTTGTACCCATAACCCAATTCCGAGCGTAAGCCCCTCTAATTATGATTTATTCCACATCTGGCCAACACCCCGACCCAGACCCCATCCCAAAAAAGCCCAAAAGGCAATTGAAACTCACCTACTGCAATGTTTGTTTAGACTTATTTACAGCAGCATTTGTATGCAGCTCGGGAGCGACTTTAACTTCATTTTAATGGCTATATTCACCGACATCGGTCGCTCGTTCGGATTCGGATTGTTGAGTTGATGTTGATGTTGTTTTACCTGTTACCGTTCTACAAACGATTCGAGCACACAAACACAATCACTGCACTTTGGGGAAGATTTTCCAGAAATATTTTTACAAAACTCCGCGATACTTTGGCCAAATAATTGGGCGAAAACCAACACAAGCAGATGGGGTTTGTTGCGGTAGGAGAATTTCGACAGAGTAATGCTTAACACCTTTACACAACGAACTAATTTAGCATTTGCTTAATGGGCCGCAATGAGGCTTTGTTTTCGATTTGTTTCTTCTTTTTTTAGTGGGCCAGGCCAAAAATGAATTCAAAAATTGAGCGAGTCGGCAGCCGAACGCGATGAAACTCGTTTTTAGACTGACTGGTGAGCTTTATGTTCGCAGTTAGTTGCCGCGCGAAAGCATTACAAGTTCGATTGCAACATGTTGCCTTTCCTTCCCAACCGGGTGAAAATACAATTTGTAACACAGGCGTATGAGTGATAAGCACAAAAGCAGTGGCAAAAACTGTGTTTAAACATCATTTCTATATCATTTATACCACCTTAATACCACATTTGAGCCCGTAATTTTAAAAAGATTTCTTTTTGTTTTTGTTCCCATTCTCATTTCCGAATTATTCACACGTATTTTTATTTCTCGAACCTGTTCAAGGACTAACTTCAGAAAAATTTTAAATTAAAGTTCCCTCTGTTATTAACCTGTTGACTTTCTTATGAAAACTTTCCGATTTGAATACGAGAATAACTTTTTAAAAATACTCTGCATTGATTGATATTTTTATCACATTCTTGATGTTTGATGTTCATTTTCTCGCCATCAGATTTGATCTATAATAATTATTTAATAGCTGCAGCTCAAAACATTGTCAATTCTAGCCTATACCATTTTTGCGAATCCGCCGCACTATTTCTAGAAGAACTAACTATGCAAAATTACGAATGGTTACAAAAAAAGTCCCAGAAGGAAGGATTCAAGAAATAGGACTCCAAAATTGGAAAAAAATTGTCTTTGCCCATATTTAAGCGTGAATGACCGCATTCTTGGTCTGGAAGAATATATATAAATGTATATTTACTATTCATATAAAATCATGTTTATTAAAGAAGTTTTTAACCAACAAATTGTATCAAACCTAAAATAGCAAAAAAAACTCAAAAATACTTTCAGAACTTTCAGAAAGAAAATTTCAAGGGAATCGTTATGTTAGATTGACCACAAGCCTGTTCGAACCGAACTTCAACATGCCAACCCAGAGTCGAACATGCTGCAGGTTGCAAGTTGTGGGTGGGCCAGCTGTTGCTGCTGTTGATGTTGCTGCTGTTGCTGCTTTAGCTGTTTTTTCTGCTGCTGCTGTTGCATGTGCCTCATATTAATTGCGCCGTTTACCCATCGCCCACGTCCACCCGGCGAATAAAACAAACGACACAGAGTTGCAGCCACAAATTCACTTGGTTTTTTAGTCTTTTTCACGCCGTTTGCCACCAATGCTACCACCTACGCCTACCCGGAAGATGCCGTAGAATATGGCCAGAAAATAAAACGGAGCGCGTCCAGTTGGACAAGCACTCACCTTGTTAAAACCGAACCCGAACCCTCTGGGTAACCCAGCTGCCTTTGCGCCTTATTTACATTTCAGCTGTGCCGCTCTAAAGGCGCATGATTAAGCAATAAATTCACACCAGGCCAAGAAAACGCAAGGCTTCTGGTCCCAATGCAGTCCGGATACCGAAAGAAAAGTTGTGCAACTAACTATTTGGCAACATTTTAGTGCATTTTCAGCAGAGCTCATTCTAATCTTGAAAGCACTTAAATTTAAAAATGAAATTACAATTGTGTGGCATCTAGAAAATGTATTATTAAACCACATATTCACAAGTTAGTTGTATGCAGTTTCAGGTGTATCTACAACTCCAACTTTGTCGAATATTTCCTGGGGCGGATCCTGCTGTTAACGGCGTTTTGTTATTTATATTCAATGTTACCTTTTGCTCCAATGCTTTCGGCCAGATTTTCTATTTGTATTTACAATTGATTTGCATTTGTGTAACACTGTTTCCTCCACCGAAGAGCGGAAGCCAGCGTCGAAAAGCGATGGAGAAAGGTGTAAATATTGTGATTATGGTTGAGATTGAGATGTAGGTAAATAATGTGGCCATCGGAGTGGGTTCAACAGGTGCCGCAGGGCGGGCTAGTAGTAGTTGGAAAAAGTTGTTGGAAAAGAAAACATAATCCACTTGAACGGAGGAGGGCTTTGATGCAATCGGTGTTAGAAAAGAACTGCACGCCAGGAAGTGGTGATAATAACAGGAATATCGACTTGTGGGTTGACGAAACCCACTCTTGTAGGCAATGACCCAAGTTTTTATTGACTTTTTGCACTTAACCTCGTAGCTATAATTCGAAGCACCTTAGTGCGTCTTATTCCTTACGGATAAGACGCTTCCATTCAGTTTGTGAATCTTTTAAAACAGGCTTTGCAAACTCGAAACGCTCCATTTGTGAAGGCAGCTTAAGCTCTGTGTGCTCGGCTCAATATTTACATTCTAAATGACTTCATTGGTAAGTCAAACAGATTAAATCTCTATTAGTTTTTAAGTGAGCCGCGCCATCGGCGCTTCGCTGGCGTCAATGGACCCCGTCAAGCCCGAGAAGCAGAGAAACCGATCCCGAACCCAGGTCCAAACCCGACCCTGACCCCAAGGCAACTTTTGGGCACGCCAGTATGACGACGACGCATTGTTTCCACCGCCGATCTCGGCCATGTCGCTGAGTCCACTTACGATATTTGCCTTTCGGTCTTCTGGCCCTGTGCTGATGATGACTTAATCGTCGATCGGTGATCGGAGTTTTGGCTTCGGTGGGCGTTATAATGATTTATTATGCCGATTGACCACGCACTGTAACAACAATCTTACTAAGACCAACGGAGGTGAAAACCAGAATCGCCGACTGAAGTGGGATTCATTGGGATTGATATACTCTTCTCATGTGAGCGTACATGAAAGTGATTTGATAATAGCTCTTGAGCTATTTTTAAATTTTATACGAGTAGTTGTATGTGGTTCGTACTAGATGTCGTATGTACTTTCGTTCTAGAAGTATGACAAGCCAGTTACAGCCCTAACAATTTATTTAAAATCGTTGCAAGCTAGGAATTTGTTTAACAACAGCTTCAAACTGCTCGGCGCGATTGCTGTTGTCTTATTTAACGAACATAAACATCCGAGAATTCCCTGGGCGGAATCCGAAAGGTCTGCCATCGGGAACGAGCCGTGAAAACCAGTTGACTAAGAGGCAGATTCCCGCTGTCCCACTGCTTTACATTTCTCACTCAAACTTGTGGTTGAGTGGGAGGCGAGATGGGTGGCTGGATGGGTGGCTAGATGGGTGGCTAGATGGGCGAGGGAGGATGAGGTAGCCCTGCCAGGTGTCCTTGGCTGCGTACCGGCAGCCGGATGATATATCACAAACGCAGACGGGCGGCAGGTGTACGCCGCAACACCCTCGTCATCTTTCTCATTAAGAGGCAGCCAGTCGTTTATTTATGCACTTGACTTGCGAGGCGACTTGGGCGGGCCGGGGCGAAAGGGGCGTGGCAGTCGGGTGGCTGGATGGAAAAAGACAGGCCAAGAGACCTAATGAGCATATCATATTTCACACATGTCCGCTCGGCTGCTTAAACCCATCGTCACCTTTCTGAGCGCCCATTTAGCTTTGAGTGCAATCTGAAATTGTTTCTCGAGTGCACTTGTTGGGGAAAAGGGGGGCAAGGGGGACTTGGAGGGGGCCACCTTCCACCAAAAATATGAAATCCAAAACTGACAAATGGCCGGGCATGGAGAAGATTATTAACCCGCCAGGAGTCATTTAATATGCCCACCTAACGGCAGCTAAACATGCTCAACTGTCACTCCTCAAAGTCCTGACTATGAGCTCGAAATGCCGTCATAAAACTTCACAAGCATCTGGAAAGTAAAACTTTATAACATGCATTAGCTGTGGTCCTTACTGCTTAAAGTGATTCTAACTTTTTGAAAAGTTTATGAATAGTAAATGGCTCGCCGATTGCCAAGTAAACGAACAAACTACTTTGCATCAATAAATATTAAATATTGAAGGATTTATCCCACAGTGTTCATGCTTACAGTTGCCATTTCCATTGCAAAGTACATTCTTTCTGCATATACATTTACTCATTTTAGTGCCAAGTGGATACTGTATTTATATTCATTTGATGGGAGGTTGTCAAAATTCTGAATGCGCATGGCCCTTTGAAAATAATATGATATGTAAACGCAAGCCACCACTATGAAACTTTAAGAAAATGTGAGAAACAATGCCAGCCATGATTACATTTGGTTAATTCAAAAAAATTATTACAAGCAAAGCATTAAGAACCAATTACTCCTGTTTTAGAACTATGACCCATGCTTGCTAGCTCAGGGGCGAGGTGAAAGGCTTAAAACGCTGCTCCAGTTAATTGTTCATTAAGCCAGGTGTCAGAAGTGCAGGCAACTCGAACTGAGTTGTAACTCAGTTAATCGGCGTAAACCGATTCCAAAGTATTCCACATGGTTATAACGAGTCGAGATAAGACAGGTGCAGTTGGGTTAAGCACAGTCAGACACATTAATTATGTTAATTGGACTGTGTGGCACTGTGGGAGAAATTTTGCGGGGTCGATGACGATGGCGATGGCGATGACGAGAAATTAAGCCATCCTCCGCGGAACCACAGACACATAACTCATAATGCCATTTCCACGTGATGACTACCGAGGCATAACTCAGCCTACCTCCGTGTCTCCGGCAGACATATAGATCTTCGGGCGAGACTTCATTAAAACTTGTAGCAGATAGTGGCCTGCATCGCTCCAGGTTCTACGGTTCAGTTCTGGCCGACCGGGAGGAAGTCGGAGGAGATGAAGATGGTCGACTACCCATCGCTTATAGGACCAAGACCAAAAACAGACAAACTGCAGTCTTGCCTAATGACCACAAAAATAGCCAAATGCAGCTTTATTTATTGCCCAGGAACGTCAATGTTGCACTCAGGGAAAATGGGAGATTCAAGTACACTTAAGATAATAAAGATGTTATCTTTTCATATCATAAGGAAGGATAATTCAATCCCAAAACTATATCCAAGAAATATGTTCACACTTTTCTAAGTAGTTGAGTTCAACAGTTGTCTTTGGTATATATTCTATGTGTAGCTTCGTTTGTTTCTGTTAAATAATAATAACATAATAAATAATTTATATTAAATTGTGGTACATTTTCAGATAAAGTTCGGGTAGTTTTGGTTGCATTGTTAAAACACTAAGACATTTTATATTGCCTATTAATTGAATAAACTGGCGGAGTGCACCTTAATAAAGTCAACAGAACTTCAATATCTACCCATGCATCCTATTATTATTCAGCTTTTGGCCAAAGAAGCCCAGGCTCTCAGAGATTGGGGCCTTCGATAGTTTGGCTCCGGCCCCTCAGTTCGTCCCTCAAAACCCTTAGAAAGTACGCCAACCATCTTTCGAGCAACAGTTGAGTGATTTGTGAGGCGCACCTCCCCTGCCTTTGCCGCCTTCTGGGTAATCACTTAATTTGGAAATTACTTGCCAAATAAGACAAGGTCTGGGCCCCTATTTTCCTTCCCCAGACTGTGGTTTTATTTGACGTATCTGCACATGGCATTAGCAGCTTGTTTAATTGCATAAAACGCTTGCCCGAAGCACATAAATTATGCAGCTGCCGGGGAGCTGAGCTGAGGTGTTTGAGGAAACCACCTGATGATGATGATGATGATGAGGTGGGAGGACGCTCCGAAAGGATTGGCGGGCCTATTAATAGAACAAGGCCAGCTCAAGGCCAACTGCAATCAGCGAAATCAATCATAAATGTGTGCACAAAACAGGGAAAAATGAAATGCAAAAATAAATGGAAAGCGCATTCAGAATGGCAGTCGCACATCCTCCCAGATGAGTTGCATTGTCAGGGGGCACACAATGCATAATTACTGATAATGATTTAGCGCATTGTTGGGGCCGGAGTGGCGGGCACTTTGGGTCTATTGTTCTGCCGGGAGTCTAGGGTCGCGATGTTACCAGGTTGCCGGGCATCCTTTCCCCTGATGATTGGGCTTAGTTGGGGATGTCTTATAGATTTGTGCGGCAGTCGCATAAAAGTCTCGCCTCCGCGCGAAGAAGATTCTTGAAGCCGCTTAGGCAGCCGTCGATGACGATAAAATAATAAAAATTGATTTACCCGTCATGTTTCGACGATAAAATTTTACAACAGCGTCAGTCGAGCGGAAAGCGTCATGCGAAATTATCATTATCCATGGGGTCCCATCGCCCAGCAGGAGCAACCATGTAGGAATAGGAATAGGAATAGCACGTAACGAGGACTTCGCCTGTTGCGCGGCCCGCAAATCATAGTTAACGACGGGCTCATCCTGGACTGCCATCCATGGGAGTAATGGGTTTTCAATTAATCCCGCTTCCATGTGATTTTTCACACCTTCCCCAGACCTACAAGAGGTATGCGGTCGGGGAGTCGGCTAATTGAGCCGTCAAGTTATGGTCGTTGAGTACACTTTTTTTGGGTAGTAGGCTCAGGTGGAAACTACGATCAAGTGATAAAACCAAAGTGGGTGAGCACATATGCCACTTCACCCAGTGGCCTTTCGCACCTCAAGTTTTAGTGAGAAGTACCTACATCTGGCTGGAAACACTTTAAATATTATAAATTTACAATATTTGTAAACTAAACAGGGGAAATTGAATAGTTACGTAATCCATTTTGAAAATTTCATTTAAGTCTTTACCTACCAAAGACACAAATGAATAAGCTATAAAAAAGTAAAAACTTTTGAACAATTAATCCTAAAATCAAGACTGTACGTATGTTAAAAAACTACGTAAAATATTTGTAAAGCATACACAGTAAAAGAAATATTCAAACTCCTTTGTTAAGCAATTATGCAGAAATATATTTTATGACTCTTTTTTTGAAATCGAAACTTTCCGAATGGTTTCCATGTCTGCCTGCCAACCCTTAGCACATAACCATAATGTATTTAAATTGATTTATTTCATTGTTATAAGCGCATTATCGGATTTAATCGGATTTTGTATTTTTATACCCGTTACTCGTAGAGTAAAAGGATTTACTAGATTCGTTGAAAAGTAAATAACAAGCAGTAGGAAACGTTTATATATTCTTGTACATATATTCTTGATCAGGATCGATAGCCGAGTCGATCTGGCCATGTCCGTCTGTCTGTCTGTCCGTCTGTCCGTGTGAACGCCTCGATCTCAGGAACTACAAAAGCTAGAATGTTTAGATTAGGCATGCAGTTCCAGATATATAGACGAAAGCGCAAGTTTGTTTCCAAATGTTGCCACGCCCACTAGCCGTCCAAAACTCTTGAAAAATGCTGTGATATTTTTTCACTTTTTTATATATTTTTTTAAATTTCTATAGATTTCCCAAAAAAATTGTTGGCACTGTAACTTTAAAAAAAAAACACTTTAAAAATTTTTTTTAAATTTTATTATTTTTTTTTCCCACTTTTTAGCGATGCTGAATACGATGTTTGTAAGATCCACGTTAGATCGAAATTTCGATCACGTCAGATTCCACTACCGAGCATTGAAAAAATATTTTGGGACAACACTGATAAATGTCATCTAGCTTAATAGAAGACCATTTCATCAGCTTTATCATTATCATCACACATCCAAGACATTTGTCCAGGCAAAGAAAATTAATCGTAAAATCTAGTGGATGGCGGAACGTGCCGCCATTTCTTTTCTTTAACCAGGATGGGCACCTCCTGCATTTTATAGAAGCTGCACTGGAGCGGTATACAAATAATTGGTAGAAACCGTCGGCATTTAAGTACTTATGACAAAGGCCATTTACGAAGCAATTAAATACTTTATATTTTTCCAATCCCGGAATTTTAATCTCCCAAAAACCCAAGATCTAAACTTCATCTAATAATAAATGAAAAGAGCTTTCACTTGTGAACAAATAATCAAAAAGTCGAAATAATGTAAACAAAAAAGTTATGTAGAAAGTTGTTACATTTAAACATACATGTAGACAAAATGTAAGATGTACTGGTTAAGTATGTATGTAAGTATACATGTAGAGTATAGGTACATGTTGATAGATTCATTAAAAAATGTATAAAAGGTAAAAGCAAGAGTTTCCGATCCCATAAAGTAGATACATTCTTGATTAGGAACCTATAGCCGAGTGGATCTGGCTGTATCTGTTTGTCCGTATGAACTTCACGAGCTAAAAAGCTGGAAAATGTTATTCAGCATGCAGATAGAACGCTGGCAACTCTCCCTCAGTAAAGGGTATCTGTTAGTGAGAGATCTCGACTATTAGGTGTTTTCACAGGTGTTTAGGTGTATTGTTAAAAATAAATTACAAAAGCACATCTTAAGCCTCATTCTTGAAAATCTCCCTGAATACTTTTCATTGATGATTTTCATCTTTTTTACATTTGTGTATAAAGCATTTATAATCACAGTTTGATGGCCAGAACTCGGACCATTGTGTGTGGTTCTGCGGGTGTAAAGATCGGTCGTCCTTGATCGTCCTTGTAATCGGCGTAGGAGAGCGAATGGACGCACTTCATCCCAAGTGCCTCCTTCTGGCGGGCGGAGTAAAAGCTCGTGCAAAACGCCACCATTACGGGAAATCCTTTAGCGCGACCCACCTCCATCAAAGTGGCAGCGAGTCGTGAGCCCAGTCCTCTGCCCCTCATTGAAGCATCTACACTGGTAGTGTGGGACAAGAGCAGTTTCGGAATGCCAAAACGCTCAAAGAGGTTGGCCTCCCGTTCAATTTCAGATAGGAATATGCAGGTGCGAGCCCAAAAGTTCTGCTCCATGGTCTCCGCCTCAATGCGATTCTTCTCCAAATCCTCGGGATACTGAGCTTCAGCAAGTACCAGTCCCACCAGCCGTTCACCTTTGTTCTCATCGATGGCCATTAAACATGTGCCCTGAGCAATCATCGACAGGTGATGTTCATCGTTAGCCTCCTCGTGTTGACAGTGAACTGTTTCGCCACTAGACTGGCACAGTGGCTCTGACTGGAAAAAGTCGTCCTTCATGAATGCTTTTACACTTGGGTAGTCCTCTTTCGTCATGATCCTTATGGTGATACCATCCTTTGTGCTGGAGGACATCGTGCTTTTGATCTTAACTTTGCCGTTCCGTTTTTGACGAATGAATTGAAACTAAACTTTTGGTCCGCTGATATGTGCATTTATACAAGCGTGTTATCAATTTTTTATTACCACAGTACCAAAAAAAATAAAACGTGCTACAGAAAAAACAAGATAGAAGGCTATAGTCGAGTTCCCCGACTATCATATACCCGTTACTCAGCTGGTGGATGTGCAAACGAGAAATATCAAAATTTTCTGGAATATCTGTAGAAATTTGGGAAAAATAATAAAATGAAAAGAAACTTGAAAAAGTGTTAAAGGTACGAGTATCTGGTATAAAAATGTTAAAAATACGAGTTGAACTTTTATTTAAACCAATGCATCGATTATTTTAATAGAACCTTGTTCTATCACTAAAATTCAAATATGCAGGCCTTTTTAAACTTTTAAGACAGCGTATAAACATTGTAAAGTAGAGTTATGCCCCCCCTCATTCATTGCATAATAATCTTATCATTTCATCACAGCAAACAAATAAGAAGAAGCGATAAGAAGTCGATAGCAACTATATTAGTTTCGAATAGTCTGTAAAATTGCAAAGACTATTCCGACCGTATTAAGCAGATACATTCTTGATTAGGAACCAATAGCCGAGTCGATCTGGCCGTCTGTTTGTCCTTATTAAGTTCGGGAGATCTCAGGAACTAGAAAGTATTATTAAGCATGCAGATTCTGATGCCTACGCCGGCATTTTTCTATCAAAATATGGCCACGACCACAAATAAATTAAAAACACAAAAACACATCTCATGCCTTATTGTTGAAAACCTCCCTAAATACTTTTCATTGATGATTTTCATCTTTTTTACATCACATTTGTGTATAAGCCACTTTAATCACAGTTTGATGACCATAACTCGAGCCATTGTGTGTGGTTCTGCGGGTGTAAAGATAGGTCGTCCTTGATCGCCCTTGTAATCGGCGTAGGAGAGCGAATGGACGCACTTCATCCCAAGTGCCTCCTTCTGGCGGGCGGAGTAAAAGCTCGTGCAGTAGGCCACCATTACGGGAAATCCTTTAGCTCGACCCACCTCCATCAAAGTGGCAGCGAGTCGTGAACCCAGTCCCTTGCCCCTCATTGAAGCATCCACACTGGTAATGTGGGAGTAGAGCAGTTTCGAGATGCCAAAACGCTCAAAGAGATCGGCCTCCCGTTCAATTTTAGACAGCATTTTGCAGATGCGACCCCAAAAGTTCTGCTCCATGGACTCCGCCTCAAGGCGATGCTTCTCCAAATCCTCGGGAAACTGTGCACCAGCTAGTACCAGTCCTACCAGCCGTCCTCCATTGTTCGCATCGATGGCCACCAGACATGTGCCCTGAGCAATCATCGACAGGTGATATTCATCGTTAGCCTCCTCATGTTGGCTGTGAACTTTTTCGCCACTAGACTGGCACAGTGGCTCTGACTGGAAAAAGTCGTCCTTCATGAATGCTTTTACACTTGGGTAGTCCTCTTTCGTCATGATCCTTATGGTAATACCGTCCTTTGTGCTGGAGGCCATCGTGCTTTTGATCTTAACTTTGTCGTTCCGTTTGTGACGAAGGAATTGCAACTAAACTATTTGTCAGCTGATCTGTGCATTTATACAAGCGGGTTATCAATTTTTATTACAACACTATAGAACAAAATATGCCAGCGAAAGAAAATGTGAAAAATACGAGTTGAATTTAAATTTAAGCCAAACGAGTGGATTTTTTTACTGGAACCTTGTTCAATCACTAAAATTAAAATGTGAATGTCTTTTGAAACTTTTAAGACAACACATAAACATTGTAAACTAGTGTTAAAGCCTTTACTTATTTATTGCATTTTGATCTTATCATTTCATCACAGCAAACAAAACAATTCTGTTTGCACTTTAAAGTGAATTGTGAATAGCCAAGCGATAAGAAGTCGATAGCAACTTCAGTTTGGAAAAGTCCTTAAAATTGTATATGTTATCTCAGCGAAAACCGCCGATGACTAGCCTAACAAAATACTTAAACAATTTTTATACGCATCACTCGTTACATTCCTTAAATAATAGAAAGTCAATACTTTCATATGTATGTTAGATACAGCTAAATAAATAATTTACACTCTAATACAAGGCGCTAATAAGCCATATCCTTTTTTACGTAGACCAAATGACGCATATAAATTATTTACCGCAATCATAGGCGATATCAAAACCATATTGCTTTTCCTGTTAAGCTATTTCATTGCCCATTAGGAGACAGCTTGTCAAAAGTGAAAAGTAAATACAGCTGCAAAGTGAAATTGTAGAAGGGAGCATGCGGACAGGAGTAAGCAACCCGCCGAATGGCAGATTACAAATATGAACGAATAAAGGCCAAAACATCTGAATATCTATATCCTGCCTGACTTTAGCTGTGGGTATCCCAGTATCCCAGCGTAGGCGCCGCCCACCGATATGTGTGCGTAGGTGACCAGCTCTACAACAACTTGGCCAATTCCGATTCCAGCGAATGGCAGGCAGCTAGCACAGCTTTAAATCAGTGCGTCCCCGGCCCGCTGACGTCACTGCAGCAGCAACAGGAGGGGCAACAAAAAAGTAAGAGAGCTTCGCTTAGGGGGGTCGACTGTGGAATACTCTGTAGTCATTATCCTGATCCAGAATACATATGTGGGCTATCTGAGTCAATCATTGAAATTGGATGGAAGCTGCTTATAAAATTTGGGTGATTTTACCTGTCTTTAGGATAGATAAATACTTTAATCCCTATGGCGAAATATAAAATAGATAAAAAACAAGGAATAGTAAGATTTTCTGGAATTGGACATCGGGGTCTGATCACAGGATCAAAGTTTTCAAAATGGGTTCAGTGAGTTCCGTGGTCAGGAATATGTATGCAAACATATATGCGTTTGAACAAATTTCTAACCGATCCCAATACTCCCACTTAAATCCACCAGTGAGGGTATAATGCGTAGGCGGCAAAGTGTTCCCCATTAGCCAGGACCCAAACCTGGGTAGCCGGCTAGCAAGGAAAGCTTTTGATTGAAGAAGCAACAGGAGCAACCAGTTGAAGTTGAACTACGTGCCACATGCCGACATCAGCAACTTCGTTGGGTTTCGGCAGGAATTCGGCTTTTACGGCTGGCTATAAAGCAAGTCGTTTTCCTCGTGGCCGTTGCATTCGTTCGGCGCGCTTCGAAGGAATCTCAACTTACCACCAACCAATCAACCTTGAAACGGCTAACCGAACAAAGGGTTTCAAAAAACCAAGTTTTCAACTTCATTTTGTGTGATTCTAAGCTTACCGTTGGCCAGTTGTCAAACATTTAGTTCATTTTCAGTTGCAAAAAGCGTGGCATACATTTACGTGCTCTCATTGAGCCGAATTCCAAGCTTAATTGAAAAACTTTTTAAGGCACTTTCCCTTGAAATCCGGACATTGTGAAATGTAAAATCCAGTTAAACCAGTGATTGCATTCTAAGGGAAATCTATTACAGAACAAGACAGTTCGCTTGAATAAGTTCATTAAATTTCCGTTTAATATACATTTTGCGTGTTGTTATATTGACGTGCAGGTAAGATACAAGCTTAATACTATAAATAAAAATTGACTTTTCGAAGTTTTATCCAAGTCACGGCAAATATAATAATATGTGTTTACGACTCTAAAACATTTAATTTCCTGCCTCAAGTTTTTCTCAAAAACACACAAATACAGAGAAATTTTAGAAGTCGTGTGCCACTTAATTTTAATGAACGCCTTTTCGTTACCATGGGCGTATGTGGTACCCACATATATTTTTTCAGTCAAAAAGAATCTTTTATATATTAAGTCAGCAGTCACCATGAATCATGCTCGCTTTTCACACAATCGATGTACGGCTGGCTAATGTCAACAAAAGACCCTCGTCACCCGTATCAAAACGACATCAGCTACTTTGTTAAACAAAACTCATAAAATAGCAATAATTGTCAATCAATTTTTTCTACTGTGTTGTTGAAGTCTGGCATAAAGCCTTCTTACAACTCCTCGGGTCAGTGTACGAAACAAAGTCAAACTGGCTTTTACCGAGCTATTTTTTAGACCAATGCTATAATTTGTGGAAAGGGTTCTTCGGCTTTTAGCGAGCTATTTTTTAGACCCATGCTATAATTTGTGGAAAGGGTTCTTCAGGCCCAATAAGTTACATTGCTTGAACGAGTTAGGTGGAACAAATGGAACATAAACTAGAAATTTTACTAAGAGATCGGGGAAACCTGAAAAAAAAGAAATTGCTAAGTAGGTAACATATTACCATTATCAACCCAAAAGTGAACAGCCACACAAAACAACAAGTGAAGATTGCTTCACTTGATAGATCCTAATTATATGTATTGTGGACGTGCCTCAGCATGGCGCTAACTTTCATGACATATGGCTAAGAAAAGCGGAAACGGAAGTGAAAGCGGGTGAAATTGCAAGACAGGAGTCAAGTAATTTTAACAAATTCGCGTGTCAGATTGAGCACGTCCCTTGTAGATGATAATCTGGACAGGGACTCCCAAATGGTGGTAAAAATAAGTCCCCTAACAACATCTGTAAGCCGCTTGACAAATATCATTACAATAGCATTATCTGTGACATTTGTAACTATTTAAGGATAAACGAAATGGTGCTGAAATACACCAGTAATTATAAAATAACGTGATCAAAGAGATTCATTGCTTAACATTGGCATGTGTAACTGGCATGTAAACATATAAATTACGTGCAAATTAATGAATCTGATACAGATTATAGAATATTGACAATGTGAATTAAATGCGTCCACATTTTCATAAACAACTTGTTAATTTGCTGACTTTTTAAGTCAAAAATATTTCATCCTGCACCTATAACTTTATTTGACTGACTGAAATAGTTGTTCTATTAATATATTTCAATGCAGGACATTCCTTTTTACAGAACAAACTGCACGAATTGTTCCAAAACTTTTTCATTCATTATGCAAACTGAGTTTTGAGTGTTTTTCTTTGTTCCACTGTCTGTCCTTTTGGGCTGAAATGGTGCTTAATTTTTCATTCTTCCGTTTGTTATTAACGCCCTGCTCTTTGGTTTTGGCAAAAATAGTCAACAACTTCAAGAGCTCACACTTAAATCAACATGCTCACATGGCAAAGTAAGGTTATTAAAACATTTGTCATCCGTTTCCGCCTATCACACACATCCGTTGCCAACATTTGTTGGCCTTTCAATTTGCATAAATAATTCCACAGGTGAGGCGGAACCAGGCTCACCACCATATAGCATCGGAAATTGCATTAATTAAACTGATGACATTTTAGAATTAATTTCGACACATTTGGCAGGCTTAGCTAATTTAATTGCCTGTGAAGGAAATTGCGGCGAGTAAATATTTAAAAGTTTACAATGTAGGTAAGCAAGTGTGAATATTTAAGCGAGTTAAGTGAAATTAAACAAAACAGCGATTTGATTTTAACCGGTTTTGATCAAAAACGTAGGCTTCAATGTGCCCCTAAATATTTATGACTGCAAATATTTTACTCGGCAAATTTAATTCCATAAAATACCACATATATCGTCTTCATTAGCGAATAAAGAATTGGACTTTATTCTTGTTCTTCATGTAATTTAAACTGTCAGAAAGTTTAATTCGAAGCGTATCGAATTGATTCACATTTAATTGAAACCACATATGTGTGTATGAGCGGTATTGATTTGAGTTGGCAAGTGAACAATAAATTTTGAGGCTTGGTCCGATTTACAAATGCCAGACAGAAATTTCGGGCCGATCAGAAGCCGACGGCAAATGTTTTTCCTTGGCTTCCGGCGAGTGTCAATGCCACAATTTGGGGCAGCCACAAGCCAGCAATTGCAGGACCAATGCGAAACAAATGAAAACAAGAAATGAAGACGTTGACACAATAACATGCTCTCAAAGAAAAACACAGAGGAAAAAAAAAAGGCATTTCCATGCTCTGGCGGATTGGTCAAATGGGAGCGGTACCCGTCAAATAATTTATACTGACTAGCAAAACCTAATTAGCTGCCCATGCAATTTTCCGCCAAATTAAACGGGCAAAAAGGGCCCAACTGAAGCGGTAATGAAATTAATACAGGAGATACGAATAGTTACACATTTTATATGCCACTAGATTATGTTATTAGGACGGACCACAAATGCCTTGTTTAATTGCTAAGCCGACGACAAATCCACACATTGTTTTCTGCCAAATCCAAAAATGTTAAAATATGCACAGATGACAGGTGGCCATCAACAGGTGCCAACAGTTTACCTTTGAACTCCGTGTGTCTCCTCCTTCCCCGCACAGGTGACAGGGTTTAGTCCCATCTTGCACAATGCTGCCACTCCTGGAAAGGTGCCATAAATTGTGAGCTCTTTATTACATTCTCAACTGGCTCCTGGCTGTCAGGAAGAGCCGAGATGGCTGAAACGGCTGAAATGGCTGGAAAAAGGTAGCCTGAAAGGGTAGATAGCAAAAAGGGGTATCCTTCCGAGTGAATTATTCAACTAGGTGGTGTGCAAACATCTGTGATGGATGGTCAAGTCTAAGTAGCGAAGTGTGCTCTGGGATTTTAGAAACTATTACCAAGCATATTCTTAAAACCATAAATTTCATTACATCATGCAAATAGATAAAAACATTTAATACGATTTATTAGAGTTTGTTATTGTATTCTATTATCACGGTGCAAGCTTAAATCCTATCAAATGTGTCGCAAGTGGCAAGCAAAAGACGCATAAATATTTATTTTAAATATGACAAGAGAACTTTATCCCCTTAAATCCCGTCCAAGGATTGCTGTTGACGCACTTTATCAACAGGCAAATGCCGAATAAATAAATCTTGAGCACTCGAAAAGTCCAAAACAACATCTCAACTATTTATAAAGTGCACAATACTCCACAAATTGGCTTAGACCGCCTCCGAACGACCACGCCCATTCCAGCCAAGCCTGAAATTAACCACTTTGCGACCAAGCCAAGTAATTTGATGCCCCTTCCTGTCCCATCCTTCATTTCCGCCAGATACCATACAATTTCTTTGTTGGTATCTCCCTTCGTTGCTTTCTCTGCGCCGTTTGAATGTGATAAGTAAATATGGTGGAGAATTGGCTAGAATTTGTGTCGCCTTTTTGGCTTCAAGATTGCTTCTCCGCACTTTATGGCCAATTGGGGTGACATTTCTGACTTAATTCCAGTCCACGGTGTACATGTCACATATCAGTGAACTTCTCTCCCACAAATAATCTACTTTCTCAAGATTTTGATCGAATATTTGCACAAACACGTGGTCATAGTTAGCGGGACCTCCCGTAATTGCCATAATTGCTTGGCTGGGAAACTATTTTAATTGGTTGCACGTGTTGTGAGCGGACTGCCCGCCATTAAATCAGTTTGATGAGCTGACGAGCTCTCTTCAGCCGTGATTGAAGTCCTTCGCCCACAGCGAAAAGGGGGCGGACTTCGCACGCCCATTTAAAAACAACGACCAGCTCTAATGAGCTTTGGCCAACGTGGCGTGTACGCAATGTGCAGTCGGCGACAAAATCGAACACTGCACACGCGTGCAATATGTTTTTATTTGCCGTTTATGGGCCACGGACTAACCATGACTTATTGGCTACATCCTCACTGGTTTCTCTGTGGTATGTTTTCCATCTGATTCATGGTGCCATTTCACCGATGCAAATCACAGCAAATCACGAAATAAATTTCAACAGCTCATAGGAACTGATCCCATAAGCTTATTACACAGAGTTTTGGGGAATCAATAAAATACCAAAATGTCAAAACCATATTTTGGCGCTTAGAGTGGACTAAGTTCATGTGGACTTTTTGAAAAGCCATATTTTGAATGTCGTTTGGAAAAGCCATTTGTTACCCATTGTTTGACTTCTTAAAGAACTAATTAAAAAAATGTCCCCCCAAGTAAGTGAAGGAAATGCTACTTTAAAGGGCGCATGTTTCCCCCTTTTTCAGCATACAATTAGGCCTCGGCATTGTCAACACAAAAGCCAAACACTTTAAACTCGGGCGCGGACGGCGAAAAATCCATGAGTAATTTACAGCGTTTAAGTTTTTGCCTCTTGTTGGCCCTAATTATGCGACACGTTGCAAATATGGCCCAAGGGCAGGTAAGCCGGTTTCTACTGGCTTACCAAAAGGATATGTAATTGGGGAAAACACGAAACGGAAAACGCTTCCGAAAAAAGTGTCAACAGGTTGTATTGCCAAAGGTTTTCAGCCACTCGAATGTAATTTCATTAGCTAATTAATTGCCCAGCTCGTTGCGTTTTGAATGAGGAATTACCAAAGGGCAAAGTATTTATAAACTGCCAACTCAAATAAGCGAGAAAGACCCTCATAAATTGTTTTAGACAATTAGGCGGCTGTCGAGCGCATTAGTCGAGCCAAACGGATTGGCAAATTAATCTTCGGACTCCGTTTTTTGTTTCTCTCGATTATTCAAATGGAAATCATCAAGTTGACATTTCAGGAAATGTGAAAATTAAATCCAATTAAGCGCGCGAAATTATGGCAAAAAATGG